ATGTTCGACTAACGACGAGGGAGATTGAGATATTGAACAGTAAATGACCTCTAAGGGGCGCAAGAAAGGCTTGAGAAAAAACAGAGATCTTTTTGAATCTACCCAAACAGTCACGAAATCAGCCTCCTTAAAAATAAGAACAACAACAAGTGATTGCAGCTATAGTTATTGTTTACCAAAAGTGAGGGAGGGCGGAGAAACATTAAATCTATGGCAATGAACGGAAGATGTTGTTTTTTGGCGCTAAATAGCCTRTTAAGAAGACGATGCTTCGTTTGAGTCCCAAGATAAAAACGCAATTGAAAAATCTTCCATTCGATTAGCTACATAAAATAGCATCTCGCAAGCAATGACAATGAACCTCGCAGACTCTCTCATTATGCAAACGAGAGTTATAAACAGCAGATAAGAACGACAGAAAAACCGTCTTATGTTTAATCTGAAAATCATACGTCTTGTGCTATCTTTAAGGATCAATACTGGGTACTAACTCCCAAGTATGTATATTAGGTAGCCGAGATAAAGCGAGCCACATCGAGTCAATGATTAGCAAAGGAAGACAGTGGGGTGATTTAAGAGGTCATTATACCATCATCTTTTTCTTATAATTTAGGTACATTCGTTTTCGTTACACTTGAGAACGACGATAACACACATTTGCTTTGCCGTATCTCGCGCGGATCAATCACAGAATCAAAAAAATGCATCGACAAAACCTATAACTTATATTATACTCTAAATCGCTTATCGGTATTAGATGGGTAGATTTCTTTTCTCAAGGAATATAGGCGGTAATTATTATCTAAAGGTCTAGCGCTTTACCAAAACACTGAATTACAGAAATCTTTTTCCTTGCCAGACAGACAAGATAACAAAGAATAAATGATCACAATTTACTTCCAAGCATCATCCCTTGTAATATTAATTGGAGCCTCAAGCAACTCCTCTATTAAATATTTCCTATTATTTCAGAAAGTGCTGTGTTTGTTTAAACCTAAAGGAACTATTTACTGAATTCTGTGTTCAATAAATTACTAAAGTCAAACAATAAACTAGGTTTGTAAAGTGTATAGAAAAACTAGATGGTTTGAAATTATTGAAAAACTAATTTCTATTTTAATGATTTACGAGGTAAGAGTAATTTTGAGCTACTAATTTTGAATTTTCGAGAAAGATTTACTTAAATATGGTCATATGGTTGATTGTCTTGAAAGAGTCTTTTGTGTCTCTTAACCACAAATCCTTCAGGGCATTTCTGCTATAGCAAAAGAAATACTTTTGGGTTTAAAGAACGAAGAACGAAAAAAGGAAAGAAACAAGTATTTTTTTTTTGTAAAAATACAATCGTCCAGCTTTAGCTCTAGCTAAAAATTTGGAACACAAATGAAGATGATCTCGATCGATTCTGAAACAGTTTTTCCAAAGGTTGTGAAAGAACTTGAAAACTGTTTTTCAGATCTAAGCTTATTCAGATTGTACGATTGTTTTAGAAGTGAGAACTAAACCAAGTCATGCAATGACAATTTGGGGTCCATCGAGCTAAACATCTCTAAATCAACCGAACAATACACTAGGTTATTTTGTGCAGCAAAGATATCAGTGATGACTAAGAAAACGATATTGATGTAGTAGGCTGGAAGATAATATCAAGAAATAAAATCCGGAAAATACTGCAATGATAACATAAATGATTTTGTTCAAAAAATCTCGCAGTTTAATAAAAAACCGTTTTTGTTTGTTTGTTTTTTTTTTTTTTTGCTTTTTGAAAAGATTTGTTAAGCAAGTCAGAATTCTAGATTTGAAGTTATTCAAAAAGTCATAATAAATCGTTTAAAACACTGCCTATTAGTAAAAAATTGTTTTGGGAATTTTTATGAGAAAGGATGGTTAACAAGTCATTTTAAAAAAGTCTGAAAATAAATTGTCAGCTAATACCTAAAACAAGAAATATTTGGAAATGTCGAGAGCTGAGAATTATGATCTACAAACACTGATGCTGTCAACGAGATCCATTCTGGTTCGTTTCATATGAATAAATATTTAGCAAAAATCACGCATCACGAAAATAAAGCATGAGGAAAATTCCTACTCGACACCAATTGATTAAAATCTCTTTTATAAAAAAGCTTTTAAGAAAAGTTGAGTTTAGACAGCGACTTGAACACTTTTAATTCAATAAGTGTGCAACACCCAATAGGTTCTGTGATAATTTTTCACCATGATTTTCGTTTTAGGTCAGTGCGTGTAAAAGCCTCGTACAAAGATAGAAAAAACATCGAGAGAAAGACAAAAGCATTGCTATAAAAACCCTCGATATTGGCCATTCATTTTGTCCTGTCATAGACACATGTAAGGTATATCATTAAGGTGGATCTGAGATCCCAAACATTAGTAAAAATAACTGAAATTGCTCGATAGAGATAAAAACAAGTTACTATACATTCGATAAATGTTCAAATTTTAGTTAAATAAATAATTTTGGTTTTAGCAAGATGTACAGGTCCTAAGAACATGTCCTGGATTATATAGACACGCGAAAAACATTTTGTTATCTGCAGACAAGAAGCATCTTTTCTAGAAATCCATTCTCAGCATCGTGTAATTTATGACCCTTTCGACCTCGTCTTTAGAAAAGATGAAGTTTATCAGCGAACGGAACCACATTTCACAACATTACTCCTTAAAATGAGTTCTTCTTAGCATCTTCTTTTGCTAATGATAATCGTTCAAAAATTAGTCGCTAAGATCAAACAATTCTACTGATAACATTTCAAAATACAAGGTAATTCTTTGACTAACTGATTTACTTTATATCTAAGTCTTGAAGCCATTAATAACTAGACTGCTAGATAGAATTGAGGAGCGTATGGAGTTCTAATAAATGACTACTTAGGAAACATGAAAAGCCTGTGAGAGGTTGGGGCTTTTGGGGTAGATTTAAGTGTAACRTTTTCGTCGCTTCTGCGACTCTCTTTGACTACAACACCTATCTTAAGTCTTCCTTTGTTTTTACTTAGAATAGAAGTCTTTCCAAAATGCTATCTCTAGTAGAGATTTGGCATTGTAAAGACAAGCTAATACTTTTTTTACAACACATATTGATCGTATTATTTGTATGCTAGACTTGAATGGTTTTAATTGGCTTGCCGTGTTCAAAAGCTAAACTAAAAATACTAAATACTAAGAACACAAACAAATATTCGCTTTACGCATTACTGCATGCTTGGATCGATGTTGGTAAATTTGGGTAATTAACGATCAACATGTCTAAAAAAAAGTCAGAAAAGTAAATAAAAAGGTCAGTTATCGAAACACGATATATCTTAAAGACTCGGTATAGAAAAGCTTTAATCCATTTTGCTATCAGTGTACAAAGGACGAATAAGACAATGATCGAAAGGCCCCGAGCATTAGACTGTAATGAACTCCATCTCACTGAGCTAAACAATATTAGACGATTATTGTATTTGTATTACTAACAACTAGCGAGGTTTTCCTGTCACAGAGGGAAAGACGTCCGCCCACAGTTAGTAAATACAGAGTTAAACAAAGACTCTTACGATGTCTTCGTAGTGGCCAAACACATGTTCACAGAGTTGAAAGGAATATTTACAAAGAAAAAAACGAAATAAAGAAAGTAAGAATCTGATGCTAGGACTAATAGATATTGCTTACCAAAAAGAAAATAAGAAAAAAAACAACCTGGTTTTGGCAGCTTGTATTTCGGTCACATGAAGATAAATTTCTTTGGCGGCCGTTGTGTTACCAACATGGGTTCAAATACTAAGAGATTTTTATTCCTCGACTCACGCTATATCTGCTACAGAGCGTGAAAACTAACATGAATGGTGCACTTTACTTGGCTATTTATCAAAAATATACTCCCCAAAGTTGTACAAAAAATAATTCTCACTAGAGTTAAGCATGCGATACCTAAGACTGTTCTATCTATACCTTAAAAAGCCGGCTCTATTGTAAATATATCATGCATCTTAGCCTTACTTTGCCTTTTACAAAACAGTCTACAGTGAGAAGAATAGAATTAGGTGAGATAGTTCCACCCCTTACACACAAACACAGCTTGCTCCGTGTAAACAGCCATTACCTGAAGCCTCGTTAATCACCGTCGTTGTACATATTAAGCCGAGACGGCGTCAACGTTTTATCACAACTAATGATGCATTTTTAATGTCAGCTCACCTATGACAGTTCCCTTTCCGCTGGCTGTTTTCGCTTCACGATTTTCGATACGAAGAACAATCGACTTTCAAAAGAATTTGGAGGCCAACATTTCGTGTAGAATTTATTCTCTTCTGAGTTCCTAATGAAAATCGGAGAGAAACGTTAATAAGAGTCGGCTTCGCATTCGAAGGTGGCAATTCTACATTGTTGTCAATGCGGATATAGTACATATAATATCCAGCGTATTTCCATTGCGTTATGGCGACTGTTGAGCGAACCCCCTACACTGAGCTAACTCAGAATTGAAATGAACTTTTTCCTAATTTCCAAAGCCTCATAAAGCTTAATTTAAGGAATCATTCATATCTTGCTGAGAACATGGTCCTTCTGAAAGAAATGGTGTGTGAATACTTTCTGAAGAGGCCCTTGACGCTTGACTAAGTTGAGACGACTTTTGTTTTGCCCATTTTCTTGGGGTCTGGAGTAGTGGGCCTGACAGAGCGAGCAATGGACCCTTGGGCTATATTCGAGAGCTTATTCAGTTATCGGCTTGTGGAGTTCAAATCCACGTGAAAACAAAAGATCGTTTTGGCACCTATTTCACTACTTAAAGCAAAAATTATTATAGAAAAAGTGATCTTGTTCAAAATCCAAAGTTCCTTACCTTGTCAACGAGTGCAGGTAATACGGAAAAGGAGTCATTAGTAAAGTAAACAGATATTAAGCAAGAGTAAACACGAGCGCCATGATAGCGCACTTAATGCAATTACATACGACTGTTTCAGTCGAACATGACAAGAATAATTCGGAAGGTGTACCTGTAGGGTTTGTTCTCCACCCCCTTTCAAGGCTTTATAAACTCACTTCAACCTGATACTATCAAGATAACGCTCGCCTTTTAACAAAGTAAGCAAACTGTCAACTATTAAACCTAGTCATTGGGTCAGTACAGATGCAACATTTGTCTTGACCTCATTGGACTCTGAAGCTTAGGTATTCCTAGTGTTTTGATGTGGCAGTATGGAGGGTTCAGCACGCAGATCGACTAGCCATGATTCTTAGTGAAAGTCGTGCATTTTGCCCCCTCGTTTCGTTTCTGTCAGCAAGAAACGCTGCTAGACTTGTAGTTTACAGCTAAATACATAGACTCAACTCTGCTAAGAGCGTCCTTAAACCTGGAACGCCCATCCAAATTAGCTAACAATGACTCGATAATGCRCAGTCACCTTTTCTGATGACATTATCGCTAAAAAAGAGGTACAAGTCTAATGCTTAGTGAAAACTAATTGCACACGATGAGATGAAAACGATACGGCACCCAAGGCAAATTCACGGGAAAACCACAGCGGTCAAAAGATCCCGCCATTTTGACATGATTTTTGAAACATAGATGCGTGTTGGTTCAGCAAATCCTATAATGAACTGTCAAAATATGACAGTAAATGTGAGAATGAAAGTTACGCACTACACCACATCCTGAGATATAAATAGCAGTCAAGGGAAAAGTGGTATTTTATTCGTATTAATCCCAACTACTAAACCAGTTCAATATACTTTCAAGTTCTAGCTATTATACCAAGCTAGCAGTTCAATTAAGACGAACCACAGAGCAAAGCGTGGAGAAAAGGTTCGCTCGTGTTCAATGCATCGTAAATCAATGAACCAAGGGGCTCTCCATTGAGGAGGACGCGTGTGTAATGTCACTGTGACAGCATCATCGTATAAACGATTACAATCATCCAAACGATAGTTTGTTGCACCTTATTCTAGAAAGGCACCCCAAAAATGCTCTCCCAAACGAATTTCTATGGAGACTAGTGTAGGACCAAGGGTAAGATAGGAGATTAAAGGTGAACCAATCGGGCAGTTACATCTACTGACATCACGTCTCAATATTGCTTTCCTTGAAGTAAAATAAAAATAAATTACGGCTGATGACATATACTGAGCAAACACATTAATGGGGGCTTTTGTCTGGACGCTTTCAAACAGCTGAATTAAGCCATGCTTTCTCACAGGAACACTCGATTGCCTCTAATCACTCATTGCCATTCATCTCAAGAACACTGATGGGCTGTTTTAACTGAAGGGATAATTTTCTAGTAGGCGGACGCGTTGCGTAGGAAAAGCAAGATGATGTTACAAGGCTCCTTCCACTTTTTTGTCCACGTTTATCTCGGGGCCGGTAACATGAATATTTCTGGGGAATTCGTACCATATGTGATCATATTAGTTACACAAATAAAGCAGCAAGTGACGGGTCCGTAGTCAAAACCGAGAAGTTTTGAGGTGATTGCTTAAGAAAACAATATCTAAAACATCGAGCCTCTTAAAAACAACTTAGCATTTTGCACCTCTTTCTCAGCCGTTAATTGCTGTAGCAAACACAGGCGTCACCTACTTAAATCTCATCGATTAAAAAGTTAAATTTAGAATCAATTCGGGTGGACATTTTTTTCGGCGTTCTGTCCAGAAGGAGAAGGAAAAGATAGAGACTCCGGGGAGCAAGTTGCCAAATACAGAGGAATTAAAAACAGGAAATCAGCTCCTGTCACGCTTATCGCTCCAAAAATTCAAAGATTTTCAAGTATTTATTTTAGCAGGCTCTGCAAATATATTCCAAAGTTTGGGCAGCCCAAACTTGCTGTTAAGAATGACAAAACACATAAGTAATGCTGTGCCCCTAAACAATTAACCTGATGGGATTTTAAATTGAGCTTCTTGAAAGCGAGCAAATATTTTCCGAAGGGTCTTTTACTTGAATAGAGTATTATTAAATATTAAAAGTTTTTTCTTCACCAGTTGAATACATTAGTGGTACTAATACCAACGTTTGACTTGACTTCATCACTTTAGTCAGCGATGTCTTCGGGCTAGTAAAGATTTTACCAAGATCTTAAAGTGTTACCAGCGAAAAGCATTAATGGAGACAATATAATTGTGTAATGAAATCTCAATTAATATATCTTTTTCAAGCAATTAATACACCATAGACCGAGCAAAATACAATACCAATATTCTATTCTTCGAGTTCTCACAATTTACTCAGCCTTTATCGCTGGTCAAAAAGTGAACAAATGTTGACTCCTGCCTAGTCTCCATCACCTGTTCTCTTGAGAAAACATTTCTCGAAACATATTTTTCTTTTATGCAACAACAAAGGATCCAATTGACTTGGACACCATTAGTAGTATCTGAGTCATCTATAGAATGTGTCTCGAAGGCGACAAGTTGGCGGATTCCTGTCTAAAACAAACCACACTTTCTGACGATATTGTTTCACTGGGGCTTCTTATTATCGTTTTACTGCGATTCCGAGATAATATTATGATTTGGTTAGCTTTGTTTACTAACTTTCTGTCGATTTGGGTCCTAGCTACTCACAAGGGAAAAGCCCAATGACCACAAAGACGGTCAATAGAATTATTCACAAAGCTACTTTACTTGGGCTTCTTATCAAAGTATCTACAACCATTTATTAGAGGCAATCAAGGGGTGTTAAATGTCCCAATAAATTTCCACACTTTACCAATAGCACCAACTGAAGTCTGTGGTGAGAACGCATGCGCAGTGTACTTGAGAGAGCATAAACAAAGGCGTGCATATTCGCGACCACAAGTTATGCCCCTAGAACACGATACACGAAAGCACCATCCTTTGAGATTTTGACTGAGTAAAGAGTGTGCCTGCTTTATAACAGATACAAGCTCAGCTAATCCACGCGACTTATCATATTTGCAGGAAATCCCTTCAATTGCTCCCACAAAGGTGACTTCTATATTTCTTCATCTTACTTAGGTTACATTTTGAAATTATCCACTCCTCACTCGACTGACCCTTATTTGACGCTCCTCTGACTTGTCTAGAATATACACAGTTGTGTAGCGAAAAGAAAAAAAAAACTACAAGTAAAACAATAACATAATGAACCCGAATATTTGCTCAGTAAAGTACACTTTTAGATGCGTTTAAGAGAAGATGTCACTCACTAATGTTCGTAAATGATAATAGTGACTCGTATAGTGTCCCATTTAACAGGCTGAACAAATGGCAACACTTTGTATCAGAAAGTGCCTTTGACAGCCACAGCCAATTTGAAAATTTGTAAGAAATGCCAATCCTGTCATCGCGTGTCTTGACGTACCAATCAGAAGGCGTTGCGTTACGTCAAAATAAGAAAGCAAGACAGAATCTAATTGGTATTGATTGACATCCCCTAGAGTTACTTATCTAGTGGTGTGGGCCATAAACATCAGTCTGCTCATTTCCTCGTAGCATTTAGTTCATTTAGGTGACTTTCAAAAGTCAAATCTAACCGCAAGGTTAAAGAAACTTAAATACAAACGGTAAGGGGAAGCTAGTGGCAGCCATGTTGCATCAAGCGAACCCCACTGCTCCATATACCGTGAGAAATCTTCTGGGTTCAAGCGAATATTATACGGCGAGTTACAAAGAAGCAGGTCAAAACGAGTGCATTTCACAAATGACTTCGCTTCATAGCTTGCCCAATAAGAGCGGATCCACAAACACAGGACCATTTTCACACGATAGTCCGACTCCAAACTATCTCTACGGAGAAACCACAAGGCCGATGTACATGAAGAGCGACGTGAATCAACCGAACTCTATCACTACGACGAGTCAGATTCATGAAGGCCCTCCACAAGGTATATAGACCGACAAGTATCTGAAATCACTCTGTGTATTTTAGCTGTTACAAGTCATGTTTGATTTTCCTATTTCAAATACTAGGGTTCACAATTATAATCAAATCTCTGAACGCAAAGTAGGGGGAGGGAAATTGTTTCAAGTGCCCAAGAGAGCAGCATCATTGAAAGGTTAAGCCATTGCTAAGGTCCGTTATAGGTACTTCGTGCAAGGGAAGATTGATCGTAGTAAGACTAAGCTTTCTTGACTACTTAAACCCAGTAGAAAAGTGCTCGCTTCAACCGCCCGCGTGTTCACGCGAACTAACAGAGCAGAAAGCTTTCCAAATGCACGTCAGTCACATTTGGAAAAATATTTACAATCTGCAATCTTTGGGGCGTGGAAGTGTTTCACTACGCTAATTACTGAGGGAGCCCCTTAGGGTAAAACGCTTTATAGTAGTGTCGTTGTTGATACTTAATGTTTTGTGCTGACACACGAATCTTCTTGTTACTCCGCAGTGTCAATGGATTCAGAGTTAAACACAAAACCATCAAGCCAGGAGATAAGCCAGGACCTTCAAGTTTCCCAACCACCGTCTAACAATGTAGACATCCAACAACTTTCAGGCACGAATTCCATGTCGAGTGAAGTAGGCAGCAAACCGAAACGAATCCGAAGAAAACCACGAGTACTTTTCTCCCAAGCACAAGTATACGAGTTAGAGAGGCGCTTCAAACAACAAAAATACCTTTCAGCTCCAGAGAGAGAGCATCTCGCTAGTATGCTTAAGTTAACACCGAATCAAGTCAAGATATGGTTTCAGAATAAGCGCTATAAATGCAAGAAACAGGCCCTAGAAAACAAAGCCCGCGCTGCAGGCATGGAGTCATGGTATGGTTTACCTCCTGAGCCCAGAAGAGTAGCTGTTCCAGTATTAGTAAGGGACGGAGAACCGTGTGTCAGAGACCAAGTTCCCGCGTACGGATATAATATGAACATGAACATGAACATGAACTTCCCGCCTCACTACATGAATATGTATCCACCACAAAATAATCCTCTCACGAATAGAACATGGTGACGCTAAGACAATGGACTTCAGCTGGCTGAGCACGGCATAGCTAAAGCCTTAAACCAAAGCTCAAAATAATATCCAACACACTATGTATTTAATTTTTTGCTATTCCAAGTGTAAAATAGTCAAAACAAGTTACGAAACAATACCGAGAACTGACTTACGAGACATATAGTTTGATATACCATAAGATAAAATATGCCTGTATTGTATATAAATTGATGTGAACTCAACGAAAAAATTAAGAACTATTAATATCAATTTAATGTGGATTTTTTCTTGACGTACAATTGCTGTATTTATGCGCTCTGAACCATCGTGTATAGAGATTAATCAGACATGAAAGATGTAGTAGCCTAGGTTAACATTATATGTTTACTCTCTCAACAAGTCAGATTAAGCACCGTGTGCTTCAAAGATTATGTCTATTCTCAAAAGTTGCTTTCGATAAGGATTTGATGTTTCACCGAAACAATCACCCATTCTTCTCTTCGCAAATATGACTTTTGTCGAAAAATATAATAAAAATATTTAAGAAAAAGAATAGCAGTGGTGCGAGGTAAGTCTCTTAGCGTATTATAAGGGGGTTTCGTGGCTCAAGTTTTATGACACAGGCGCTTAAATCTCGTATTGTTTGAAACAAACTGGCCAAGATAGACCAAGAAGTGTGGGAGATAAGCGCAATAATGGGAGCATTTAAGAATGAAAAAGTGTTATAGCACAAAGCTGCGGCAACTTCGACGCTTATCCACAAACCTAAAATTTTCTTTCCTTTGAAAAAGATAATACTAATTAGCGAGGAAAGTGGCGAGGACTTCAGCCGGAATAATTACGCTCTAACAAAAGCTTAAAATTAATGATGACATTCATTGGTGGTTGATTTGCGTTTTTGGGTATACATTTAGAATAGATTTAGCACAAGGAGCACCGGTAACCACGAAAAATATAGTCAGTCCATTAAAGAAATTTCCGTGTCAAGAAAAGGCTCAATATTGCAACACCTTACAAGTACTTTCATTACGGTTCACAATTCTCAAACATTAGTTGATGAGAACGATCTGTCTCCTTGTGATTTTAGAAAGCCTTTCTTTGTTCACACACATTTATCGATAAAAGGCTAGAAAAGAATATTGTCACTCTCACAAGTATGACCATTGTTCAGGGTTGTACTTTTGACTTTCTCATTTTATATTCTGTTTTAGCCTAGTATTAAGACTGACTGAGAAAAATGGGATAAAATTTCAAGGTGAAATCTGGAAAAATGAGGAAAGCATAATGTGTTAATGGAAATAAATATTCATTATATTTGTTTCAGTTTCATTTTTGTCCTCAGCATATCTTTCTTTCACAAATGTGAATTCTTTTTTTTTTCTCGTTTGTTATTTTCTTATCTTTATGATTATCATGATTCAATTCCTTCATGTTTTCCTTTGTCTGACTTAAAATGTTTGGTTAGTGTCCTCATTCAAATACTAAGCAATTGACAAATTAACTTTAAAATCAAAAAACAAACTTAAGAACATCATGTACCTATGAGTGTGAAAAACCTTTAAAAATGAATAAAAATGATCACTAAAACCCTACAAGCAAACATATAATTCATTCCTGTCCAGTGGACGAATAACTTGAGTGTTTGTCTAGATTTTCCATTTCCCATTTCTCATTCATTTTTTTTTTCACTTTATCTTTAAAAGGGATAAAAGAAAAATGAGTTTAATGGGATATTTTTCAATCCACTCAAGCATATTCATAGCCGGCAAAAAAGGGTGGGAGCAAAAGGAGGGAAAAGAAAACACAAACCCCTTCTTATACGAACTTATTTAATCGCATTAGGCAACTGAAATCCTTCTCAAGTCACTTGGACATACGTTACATATTAATGGGTTTTGATAGGAATCCTTGAAAGCAATCCATACTCAGAGTAAAACCCTTTTAATGCCCAATATTGTCATTTGGATTGCTGCAGCTTCATCTTCAAATGGTTGCTTTAAGCTTCCGATGAGAGGTAAAATGAGATCAGAATAAAATCTGCTTGAGTCTCTCATTGTATGAAAATGTCTTAAAGTGCAAGTAAACGTTGACAACAATGAGTTCGCACCAGATGGCGCGTTCTCTATTCTTTAGTTGTCAATCACTGCAATCATTAAGCGACATTACGTGACAATAGCAAAATAATAAACGAATTAACGCGCTTGCAGAGAGGCCTATGTGATTGGCGTTACTCGAGAAGTCATTATCCAGTGAATGGCCCTCCAAAACTTTAGAGTCTCAAAACAAGCTTTCATTGCCACCCATCTCGATATTTCCCACGCGAGTTGTCATTGTAGCTTTAAGCGACCTCTCCGCGTTAGAGCAACTTAAAACAAAACCTAGCAACGGATATTCCAGTAAATAATACGCCACACCATCGTTGATAGGTGTTGATGGTGTTGGATCCATGGTGTTATGTGTAACGACCATTTAATCTGTATCGCCAACTTTAAATCTAGAGGTTTGTGCACTATCCCGAAGTGGGACAACTAGTTCATGAATAACCTAACGTCAATCGTCCAACTTAAGTGTATCTTTCAGTAAGAATAAACAAGGACTGTTTTGAGAAGCACCTAGTCATTTGCACCCAATCGGAATCGAGTTTTAATGTACTAGGTCTTTGTCCCTATGAGGCCTAAATCTTTGCGTAATTGAGAGCCCCGTGTGTTTGCTAATTGCATTGTGTCAACGCTCTCTACAACAACGACAACAAACTACGTAAATGAACCAATCAGCCAATAGGAGAGCGTTATTAGCTTGATTCCCTCATCAACAGCTACTAAGTGATACGTGAACTTCGACCAATAGGCGATTAATGTTCAATTTTGATTTCTTATCAATGAGTAATGATATTGGGAAAATTCCTCTAGGCCCAAAGTGCTATTTCAGTGTGGGACGGTGTTCGGGTTTTACGGGTGGTGCCATACTCACAGGCAAAAGAACTACCAGAAGTTGATACTTCCTCGAGGTTTTTTGGGAAAACAGCACTGCACTGGACAATATCTAAAGAGCAGCCATGGAGGACGGCAGTGCTAACAAACCAAACGTTACACCATTTTCGATAACTGACATACTGAACCGCCAGGACATCCAAGGTATAAATAATAACAGCTCAAGTCTCTGGGAGCGAAGAGTAGGTCTAGATCATCACCAATTGCCAAGCTTTATGCCATCATCACCATACTTGCATGGTCATTATAGTTTCCAGCCATTTGTTCCGTGTGCGAATTACACAGCATATCCTACACAACCAGTGGCAAGTTCATCGAAAAATACCACGCAGTCAAAAGGAAGTAACGACGAAGAAAGTACGGCCGAACGATGCGAAGCTGCGAAGGATCAAAGTGAGTACACATTTGATTACACTCTTAGAAAAGGCTTAGCTTTTCTCGGTTTAGATTCATTATCGCTAGTAGTTTCCCGAAACAGACCGCCTTCTATAATCTGATTCAAGCTTTTTGTTCTTTAACGCAGACTCTCCTGAAAGAGAAAGCAACGACACCTCAACCTCGAATCAACAACAGCAGACCAAACCGCGCAAGAAGAGATCACGAGCGGCATTTTCTAATCAGCAAGTCTTCGAGTTAGAAAGAAGATTTGGTCATCAAAAGTATCTATCAGGCCCGGAAAGAGCTGACCTCGCAACAGCTTTAAAACTAACAGAAACTCAAGTAAAAATCTGGTTTCAGAACCGAAGGTACAAGACGAAGCGCCGACAACTCGCGTTGGAGATTTGTCCCCCAAGCGCAGCTAAAAAAGTTGCAGTAAGAGTACTCGTGCGCGATGATCAAAAACAGTACGACGATTTGCCGCTTCCTACATTACCTACATTACCTATTCCTTCATATATGCCGAGTTTTTCTGCTGCATATGGACTGTGCTGTATAGATCCTACAGTTCAACCACACTTTCTATAGCAGAGCTTCATATATTCGTTCTGTTCTTTCACGTCAACACATTTTGATTGAAAGAAACAGATTTAGAAGATATTACTGCCTAATATACGCACTGTAAGGCGCAGGAAAGATCTATGGGAAATATTCAAGTGTTGTATTCCTCAGATGAACACTCGAATCAGTCCAGTTTTGAGATAACTTTCAATTTCTCTTCGCCACGGAAATGTATAACACTCATGACAAGAGCATATTAATGTGGAGTGGATGGTTCTCCACAAGTTTACTTACTTCATCAATTTCGATTGCTAGAGTATTAGATCTTTAATTAACTCTAATCCAAGATTAGAAGTCGACAGAACCTTTGTAGTGTAGTTAGGATTTAACTCTAGGTGGTTGAGTTTAGTTCAATCGTTTGGATTAGTATATAGGATGATGAGATACCTGAAGTAGTCTGTACAATAAACGATCATAGATCACGGTTGTTGCTAGGTAAAGTAGTTCATAAATGTTATCCCTCTCTGCTAATTGAGTGTCGGCATCTTATCTCAAGTTTTCTCATTTGGCTAGATGACAGTTTTATTCTCAAACATCATCGCAGGAAATTATTTATAAAAGTATTTTAGAGAGGGTAAGGTTAGGGTCCTAAGAAAGAATCCGATTTATGTCTTAAGGGGGAAGAGACTGATTAGAGCTCAAGAACTTAGCTGTCTCTCAATATGTACATTATGAAGTACAAAAATTCGTGTTGATTATTTGAGTTTCTTTTCGAAGTACAGTAAATCAAAGTAGTGAAAGAAATCACTATATGATTGTGCATGTCATTATGACTAGTTGGATCACAATAAAGCAAAGCATCACTAGATTTTCTTGTTGTTTATAGATTTGTCATTGTCCTATAAAAGCTTTGGTGCATCGATATAAAGGAATTCGTAGATGGATTTGATCAAAACACCAACCATAGAGTATATGTTCTACAGGGTCTCAAACATTGTTGATACCATCTTTGGAAGTATCATCCAAACTCCCCCTTGAAGGCCGATTATCCCACAGCATTTAATTACACTTCATCGTTCAAGTCTACAAAGCCTCTCATTAGACCTCATTACAAGAGCTTTTATTCAGGGGCTTAATGTGATTGTAAAACACTTCGTAAATACTCATTTAAGTGCCCCTCCTCCGACACGTCTTCTAACGCCACCAAAGGCCACTTTCAATACAAATCAGATTTACGCAACGATGTTTATTCGGTGGAAATACGGGGTAAAAAAAAATTGTCTGAGAAAGACGGGGAAGAGGTTACCTTTGACTCGGTCATTCCAAAAACGCAAGCATTAGCTTGGAGTCGAAGAGCACGTTTACCGACGGAAGTGTGACACCAAAGACAATAGCATGTGTTTTAACGATTAGTAGCATATGGGTGTTCAAAATACACCAGGCTGTGGCTCTGAATAAACTTAATGGAAGTTTAATTTCAATGAATAACTGGACAAATTTTGAATGTTACAATTCTTCTTCTGAATGCCATGGTTTCCTGTTTGCCTACTCTTGCTATGAATGGATCATCGTTTAGACATGCTTTAATGGCCATTATACCATCAACCCGTCATACTGTACAGAGTGTTCTATTTAGGGGTCCCAGCAAATGTGCAAATCAATTACCGGACACAGCGGATTTTTGCCCTAATACTTATTATCGCATCGAGATGGACAACGAAATATACTGTTATCTCTAAAAAAGCATMATTAAAAGGCATTATACCCAGAACCAGCCAAACTCACTACCAATGCATTCAATACATCTCAATTGAAATCTAATGGCGGCTGTACTCTAAGACAACAAACTTAATGCCCCTTAAACCACACACGTAAAATAGCCTCTCCAATTTCAGCTATCACAAGATAATGTGCTGTCAAGAACTGAACATCAAAGAAAACAAAGCGGACAAACAAAAACATTTTAGCCTGGAAAGCAGCCTCCTGTTATCTGACTTTGCCCGAAGCTGCATGTCGAGTTCCAAATCTTGCCCCTCTCAAATTGGGGAATCTTTTTTACTCAGTTATAAAGTGCTCGAAAGCTCACTTCGAGTAATGATTGAAGCGCGTGACCCACTTAAGGGGTTGAAAGAATTCCCTAATTTAATTTACCTAACAATTCCGTTCGTGCGACCCTCTTTATTACAAAGTGAAACCCATATATTCCAAAAGGGTAGATTTTCGAGATGTGTCATCTCTAAGTATTTCGCAATTAACATGGGAAACTACATGTGGGGTCTGTGGTTTGAGGGTAAAGAAAATGATAGACTGAGTAGCGTTGGGCACTCTTTAAACAAACCTCGACAGTGGAATGACAAGTCCTAATTCTAAATCTAAACCTGGAACTAAACATGACAACAGAACAACGATACCGCGCTAATCTATGCTCGCTTTCCCAAAACCCTTCAATGGAATCGATCAAACTACAGGATCTTCAATCACTCAACCGAAGAGCTGTTAGTCAGGATAACCATGAAGTAGGGAAATATTGAGTTTCCTGTCGAGAGATTTGATGGCTGTTCAACAACAAAAGACCCTTAGGAAACGGGACAACTGAATACACCGAATCTCAAATGAACATTCATGATCTCAATAGCAAGCCATTAACGCGAATGTTTGATTGTGAAAAAGGTGTGAAAATGGTGGGACTCTTTTATTTCGATTAGCTTCGCTTAATTTTACGACCCACTAATTAATCTGTTCAACAATACCCCATATAACAGGACGCTTTATCCTATTTTCAGGTCAACTTCAACCGCAATCGTATTATCCTGGTAATGAAAACTGATGGTTAAAGGACGCATCTATCTTAGATCCAATTTCAAGATAGTCAAGCGAAAATTAGTCGAATGTTTGATATCTCCGTATCGAACAAAGCTGTTTCCGCAGCAGTTAGGCCGATCAGTAACATAGGCAAGGACACACATGCACTTAGAGGGATTTAACCGGAACCCCAAGTAAGTGGGAGGTCGTATTAAAACGTCTGCTCCTAAATGAGGTTGGACAAAAAGACATTACAACTGGGTAATACTAAGAATTCATTGCAAATGAAGGAAGCAGTTGATTTTGGATTAGGTTGTTAATTGAATATCCTGAAAGGTGTAAGACTACTGCAAGTAGTAACGAGAGACCACGTTTACATTATCTTAATAAAGTTTTTTTTATTATTTTGTTAGTGAGGAAATTGTATACCAAATGTGCTAGCCACTGTTCTATGACAAGAAGGGTCTGAATTTCGAAGTTTCTATATTTTTTTCTCGTTTCTTTTCATTCTCTTTCATTTCAACTCACTCAAAAGAAACCTCTCGTGTTATATCTGGTTGACATGTTAGTTTAGTTTGTCAAGACTGATCTAAACAGTTTTCTCGTTAAAGAATAGGGAAATTCTCGCTCCTGAAAAATAACCAAGCTCAATGGAAATTATAGATAAAGTAAAAACAAAACCGAGCTATCTTCAAGTAATTTAAACTTGAGAAAATGCTAATTCAAAAGGAACAAAAAACACTGATCAGTATCTTGTGATTGAAATCGGGCTTTTCCGCGAACGAGGAACGAACTTGCGCAAGATGAAACCAACGGTTCAGTAAAACAACTGGACTCCTAATGCGAGTCTAATAACAAATAACATGGCTAGACTGAAAACAAGATCTCAATATTTACGATTCTTCTTTAAAAAATAACACAGGTCTTAGCGAACTCTTGATCTAATTTTAATGAGTAGATGTCCGTATTTTCCTACATGGTCCTTCAAAAGATGGCCTTACTTGGATCAGTGTCATTGAAGATAATCATCTCAACATCTGCTGTTTCGAAGGTCTTTGTACCAGCAGCACTCAGTACATCCGAGAATAATTTCATAGAGATCTTTGTAAAAAAAAAAAATAGATAAAAACTATAATAGTGATCCAAAACCTATTTTGAAAACCTAGATTCGAAATCATATAAAAAGTATTTTAAAATGAAATCAAGTTTGAAGTTGAAAAACTAATATTTGTTAAAATAATTCGAGAGGAAAAAGACCATTATTTAATGCTAATTCGTAGAAGCAATAACTGCAGTCGATATTGACTTATTTTCTTTGTGATTTTGGATATTTGCATTTATTTTGAACATTCTGCGACAGCTTTCAAGCTACGCATCCAAGCAACCCTGACTTAGATAATCAATGATGGCAATAAAAACTGACTTTGTAAATGAATCTAGAAGATAGATAATCCAGAGCGGAAATCTCACACTATTTGATATTTTGATGGCTTTAATCTTTTACACAACATTACTAAAACCATTGGCTTATCGCAAAACACCACATAATCTTTACATTTGTCTATTAACTCTCCAAACTTCGTAGGTTCAAGGTGAAGTCTATTATTATACAGAAGCATTTCCCCCCCTATGATCTTGATGTGAAAGTAATAGATATCTAGAGAGATACGTCGGTTATTGGAATTAATACATACGTAAATATAATCATACAATTCTTTGAAAACGAAAAAAAACTACTTGTTTTAATAGTCAAAATTAATTTTCAAGTATCGAGTATCTTTCGTTGAGCAAACACACTTTTGAATTTCAAACTATAGAATCCTAAGCTGTTATCTTATGTTGTGCGTTTAAAGTAAGAGAAATAGTGTATATTTGAATGTTGGACCTGGAGGTTAAGGTCTATATGATAGGTGTAAATGAAAGGTGAATGGTATTGATTATCAAGACGTGTACTTGCTATATAATATTATGCTGTACAAATGTATTAATATCTATAAACATATGTACCATGTCTTAAGTTACATAAACACTTCTACCCTAGTCCATATACACCCATGATATTTTATTCAGGGAAAGACTTACGAGACAATACATTTTGATTGGTATTTTGATGAGGTCGATTTGTCTTAAAATTGCGTCTGCCAAGACATGGAAATGTCAGAGGAATCGCTTCGGGAAGTATTTTTAGTAATGAAAGTAAAAGATCTGTCATTTTGAAAATAAAACCTTAGCAATGATCGCCCAGACGGTCTACATGAAATTTAATCAATGTAGTTTCTTGAAAGATTGAAAAACAAAATGAATAATGAGTGTCTTGTATGGTAACCGATACAATCRAAATTGCCAAAGGCAGCAGTGGGATGCAGACAAAATAAGGAACACGTAGCAGAGCTGTGTCAAAACTTTGATAAGAAACGTCGGAAACAGCTAGCTATGGACAGGATATAGTTTGATTTTTCAACATGAACGTGGCTATGATATAAACACTTCAAGTCACAACATGGAACAGAAAAACGAAAACATGTCAGACGATACTGGGATTGAATCGTTCCCATCAAATAGTTCAGCTAGTGGCGGGTGATTTTAATATCATTTCATTTCAGAATCTATCTAGTTTATGATCGTTGTCCTGTGAAAGGCAGTCAAAACAGTCGATCTGGGAAAGCAATTTATCACTGATAAGATAACTTTAGATCTTTCTAACCCTTGTTGTCACTTTAATGGAATGCTTGAGAAAACAAGACTTGGAAATAACCATTTTGATAAGTTAACGAAATCGTCTTAAAATTCTCATGCAATGAGGCTAATTGAAGTTAATTTTTTTGTCTGGCGCCAATATAACTGGCAGCAGTCATTATTTTAGGCACATCTTTGAAAACCATCGATTGTCAACTATAACCTTGATTAATTATATGCTAAAAGGATAGATCATGTGAGACATTAAAATCACGTCACTGGGTCAAGAAATAAATGGTTCTTACTACAATAACCCCGTGAGAAAAGTATAAGAAAATCTTATCTTATAATTTCGAAACTTTAAGATAGGAAAATAGGATGTGTGATCACCATCTTTAATGATAATTCCAAGATATAGTTTGTTTTCAAAACTTCAGTACCTTGCATGAAATGTTCAAAAATAACAGAGAAAAATTGGTAGCTAGGCTCGTAAGAGAAACTACAAGGTGTAGACCAACAGACAGACGACGTCAGACTTACAAGGATAGCATACTCGCTCGGACGTGCAAATTTAGAATTCGAGTTCGAGGAGCATTCATCAATGCTTTCACCCTGAAGTGCTCGATTGATAATCAATATTGAAATGTATTAATTTATTTAGCTAATCTAATAATCTTGGAAGTGCTGCTATTTGTCTACTACTTTGGGCCACTTGACGAAAGCGCCGAGGCTTGATTGAGAAGAGAACTATCGGACGAAATTAGTGTTCACGACCGACTCCCCTTAGAACGTACTTCACTTCATAAGCAGTTCAAGGGTGCAAAAAAAGGCCTTTAACAAAGGTGTTGACACATGCTTTGACGAGATCTCAGCTTTCTATAAAACGTCCTCTTTACATAAACGTAACCTATTGTTTATCAAAAGGGTGATTAAATCGTCTTTGCTGCCGTATTAATAAAGAAAGGGTCTGTAATCTCTATATTTAAAAGCAATATCTTTTAAATCTCCACTCAGCTTCAAGCATAGAAGAATGTTCAGTTTTAACCTCTAAGTACCAGTAAAGGACCGATAATTGCGCTCTAATTACTCGAAGATCGTCCGGCCTATCTGCAAAGCTATTCTATCTGTCATGGTTTTAGTGACGAGATTCRTCGATCAAAACGCACTGCGCCAACCCGCGATAAACAATGACAGGAATCAAACTCATCGCTTCAAGAGCACTTAGTTAGGTTCCTACCGCCAAAACTCTTAAAAGTTCCAGAGGCCAATTATGTCGGTCATTGACAGTTGTCTTACAAGTTGTAAGAATTACAAGAGCGCCCTGTGATTGTGCAAAGCCGATTTATACCACAACTATAGTTCAAGATAACTTTCATAAAGGAAATACTCTTGAGGAAAGATAAACTATATTATATTCTAACAAGGATTTAAAAACCGAAAAGCGAAAATAAAGTCTTTGTGTCGAATGGGACGAGGGTAAGAGAAAGCGCGAAAAATCAACCAATCATAGATGGGTGCGATTTGAATAGATCGTATCGCTTGGAGTCTAATTACAGGCCCAAGCAAGCAAACACGTGTCTGTTTTAGGGGCATTTTACTGAAGTTTGATCAGGTCATGGGAAGGGAAATTTATCGAAGTAAGCTGATATTGTTTTAATAAGGCGTTAATGGTGTTCTACAAGCGCCATTCACTGATTATATTTCTAGTCTAGTTCCTGTCAGTCCATTAATATACTGTAGCTTGAATCTTTGGTTTCATGGCAAAAACCTTCCAGCTATGTCTGGGTCGAATTCACTAAACAAACATCAAAAATGGCTGAAAATACCACATATGGGATTTCTATCAACAACGAAATAAAACCTAGAACTCAAAACTGAGTGCTTCGCATGTGAGTGTATTGTCTTTACTGGAGCTTTTAGCTTGTTAATTTTGAAACAGCCTGTTATACATTGGAGGATATTGTTCTAAGATAGGTGTCAATTTAACGAGTTTCACACTCATTTCAGGACACGAACATCCATTCCTTGTAGTTTTCGTGCGGTTTTATTTTATTTTAAGTCGTGCGTTGAGGAGGTGGAGATTTGGTTTACGCGGTTCATCCTCCAATTAAAACATTCTTCAAGGGAAAGGGTTTGGCACAAAGGTAAAGAACATCTGTGATGTAGTACTATAAACCCAATACAATGCACTAGTTGAGCACAAATTGCTTGCGAATGCTTTACTCTTATTGGTTCAAATGAATAATGTCTATGAACTTTTATTCTTACCAATAAAAGCTGAGAATCGAGAAAAAACAACAACAAAACAGTAGGAATTAATGAGCGAAAAATATCTTCGCGCCAGTCTATTCTACAGTCAATTAAAAGTGTTGGTTTTTCAATTATTCTATTCGATTATTCTATTTACTTGGCACCAGATTAGCACGAGACGAACGTTTATTCGCATTTGGAAGCAATTAGACACATTTTGGCTTATCTCTCTGATTACTGATCAAAAACGTGTCTTAAAGCAACGACGACTACCTTGTTATACATGTTTTACTGGCGCCTAGAGTAAAGATGAAATATATGAAACAATGAATCCCCTCCGAAATGAATCGCATTCGACGTCCTAACATCATCACGGAAAGATTACTGATTTAGTTGAAAAGATAGTAAATGACAACGAAAATTGAAAGAAATCGTTAATGGAAAAGCACTAACCCTAAAGACAATATGGCTAGAATGGAATG